CCGCAACACACCACCGGCCCACACGGCAAAAAAACTGCCCTGTCCTGAGTGGTGGCAAGTCGGGGGCCAATCTCAGGGGGGGCACATGTCCCCACCTACCAGTCCCCCATGGCTGAATGGAGTGGTAGGAGCTATTATTTCTGCTATTGCCTGTACGCTGTCCCATTGACTATTTGTGGCAGTATGTGGTTGGGTTTGATACCTTCTTTCATATATCTTTGTCCCCATGGCAAGGGGAAGTATCACCAAGGAGGTGATATTTCCCCTCTATCGGGCGCTGGTCAGACCGCAGTTGGAGTACTGCGTGCAATTCTGGGTGCCGCACTTCAAGAGGGATGCGGATAACCTGGAGAGGGTCCAGAGAAGGGCCCCTCGTATGGTTAAGGGCCTACAGACCAAGCCTTATGAGGAGAAACTAGAGAAACTGGATCTATTCAGCCTCCGCAAGAGAAGGTTGAGAGGCGACCTTGTGGCTGCCTATAAGTTCATCACGGGGGCACAGAAGGGAATTGGTGAGTATTTATTCACCAAGGCGCCCCCGGGGGTTACAAGAAATAATGGCCACAAGCTAGCAGAGAGCAGATTTAGATTGGACATGGGGAAGAACTTCTTCACAGTTAGAGTGGCCAGGGTCTGAAATGGGCTCCCAAGGGAGGTGGTGCTCTCCCCTACCCTGGGAGTCTTCAAGAGGAGGTTAGATGAGTATCTAGCTGGGGTCATCTAGACCCAGCACTCTTTCCTGCTTATGCAGAGGGTCGGACTCGATGATCTATTGAGGTCCCTTCCGACCCTAACATCTATGAATCTATGAATCATGGCCTATGGAATAATAGTCCTGGGGTCTTTCTGGAACTTCTGCTTCCCATACAGCAGAGCAGCAAGCACCATCAGTTTTTCTTAGAGAGCTCTATTAAGAGGTGGTGTGCTGGTGGGCTCTGAGGAAATTGGATCAGCCCCCTAGGAGCTCAAGCAGCACATGGCCTGCTGTAGCCCACCTGGCTGGCCTCGGGGGGTACTGCCACCGCAGAGGGAAGGACCAGGCCTGGTGGCAACTCACCCCCACCCCCAGTTGCAGGGGAGGCAGGCAGACTCTGTCAAAAGCAGGATCAGGCCTCACTACTTCTACCTTCAGCAGGCTCCTGCAGCCCGCAGGATGCCTGGTGCCAACTGAGAATGGGCTGGCTTGCCCCATGGGCAGCATGGTGTGTCAGGCAGGGGCAGGAGGGGAGGCATCAAGCATCCTGTGGCCTACAGGAGCCTGCTGAAGATAGAAGTGGTGAGGTTCGCAATCCTGCTTTGGCAGAGCTACCCTCCTCCCCCTCATTACTGGGGAGTGAGCTGCTGCCAGGCTGGGCAGCTCCTGAGCTGAAGGGGAGCTTGATCCTTTTTTCCATGGCAGTGGAACCTGCCAGGGCTCACCAGGTGGGCTGCCAGCAGCCTGTGTGCTGCCCAAGCTCCCAGGGGCCCAATCCAGCTTCCCTGAAGCCCACCAGCACACTGCCTCTCCCATGAGGCAACCCAAGCTTCTAGCACCTTGTACACCATCCCCACTGCCTTCCCCCACCACCAGCTCATCCAGCCACATTCCTGCCATGGTGAAGCAGAGTTGACTTATACATTGGATCTACAAAAATCCTAACTTTTTTGTACAGAAATATGGGGTTGACTTATACACAGTGCCAACTTATACACCATAAAATATAGGAAGTATTAAGGGGGAAAAAACTCTCACCAGGAGGGCAGTGAAGCACTGAAACAGGCCACCCAGTGGGGTTGTGGAATCTCCATCTTAGAGGTTTTTAAGACCCAGCTAGACAAACCCTTGGCTGGGATGATAAAGTTGGTGATGGTCCTGCATTGAACAGCGGGTTCAACTAAATTACCTCCTGATGTCCCTTTCAACCCTAATATTCTATGAGTCTGTGTGTTTATTCCAGAATAGCATGGCCTCACCAATGCCAACAATCAGCTGATTGTCGCCATTGCCTGGAGATATCCCTGGGTCTTGAACCAGACCCAAGCTAACCAAGCATGTTCCCTAGACTGAGCTGAGCATGGGGATTGTGCAGGGGACAGTTTAGGGGTCCAGGACAGAATTGCCCCTTGCCTGATCCAGAGGATTGGGTTGGGAGCAGCTCTACAGTGGCTTGATTGAGATCTGAGGAATTGTATTTCCCATCCCAAACACTGCACCTCTTGCCATACACATCTGGCATGGCAGGATGTGCAATTTTTGGGACAGGACATAACATTACTTAGATCTCAATTACATAATCATTTTAATATCTACCAGATACCTTAGTAATTAGTTTGGAATTAATTATTTGAATGAATGAAAAATAAATATTAAATAGTCCAGTAAATTGTTAAAGGGTTCTGTCCAGATACAACTGCATATATGCACCTGGACCATATGATATCACAAATATTCAGGAGCAACATGGGTTTATGTGGAAGGGAAAGGTTTAATTTAGGGAACAAGGGCAAAAAAATAAATAGGCAGTGAAAGTGGAAATGAACTTACTACAACTTACCCCTGTAACTCTGTCAGTATGCTGCTTCTCACTATGTTTACTGCTGCTGAAGGCAGCTCCCTATAGCAGCTGCATAGGAACCTCTTGTGACCTCCGTGGTGATCTGCTCATCAATTTGCTGCTGCTGTTGAAAATCAGTTGCTACCATGTGCCTATTACATTTCCCTTTTCTGAATCTAATGATACTTAGTTGCAAGGTGAGCAGACTTTTTGACCTCTTTACTTCTTTAGCTTTTATCCAGTGAATAACTACTCCAGGGGCACAGGTTTTGTTTCCTTTTTTTTTTAAACAAACAAAAAAATGTTCCTTTTTCTGATGCGGTTAGACAAGGATGGGTTCCTTTCCTCTCCCTGCATCAAGCTATTTTTGGAATTACTTGCTGTTTTCCACATAGATGGGTTTTCTTGGATTAGAAAGCAGCTTGCACAGATGCACAGCCTCTGAGACCCATGAAACTTTCATGGACCAGCAGCTATTGAGGCTAATTTGGGCTGGATAATTTGGGTTAGACCTTTTTTTAGGTATATAACTTCCATTGAAATTAATGGGAGTTAGGTGGTTAAATGCCTATTTTAAAACTACTAATGAAAATACATTGACCAGTTGGCTTGTACTCAGGAGCATACTTCATATACACAATAAGGTGTGTAATAAAATCCAATGCATTCTCTTCCAGCAGCTGCATTTGGTTAAAATGCCATCACTGCTTGTGATACCCAATTTTAACCCTGATAAATACAGAAGATTATGTGCTAGATCCTGTACATTTTTTAGCAATACCCCCAATTCCCATTGACCTCCCCCAGGAGTTGCGGGTGCACAACAGCATGGAGGACTGGGTATTATAAACTGCTTCTCATGAATCAAGTCTCACTTGTATGTGTGGCTGTTACTGGATTGGGGTTTTTTTAAGCATATGGCTGTTCAGTCATATAGGAAACTTGTAGGAAGCAGGAAGGGTGATGAATAATAGTGCAGATGTTTAACACAGTAACTTGTAATATGTCCCTAGAGGAGGCAGCTTCAATGTGGAGTCACATACCTTCGAAATCAAGTGTAAAATAATAAACTTATCTTTAGTAGGTTTTTTAAGTTAGTATTTTTTTGAAAATGAAAAAAGAGCTGCAAGGTATTCTATGGGTCAAGAAGGCAAAATCATATTTGGGATACAATTCTGGTTTGTATTATACAAAGGAATGCAACTCTATACATTGACATGGATCATAACCCGAAGACTATTTTCTAAAGCAAATTAAAAGTTCAGCATAACCAAATGGAGATTCCATAGTCTAATTTTTGAGAATGGGATCTCAAAAAACTTCTATCAAGTGAATTTAGGTAATAAGTTTGCTTGCGCTAATCAGTCTGTAGAGCAAATATGGGATGTTAACTAGCATGAAGTAGCACAAGCCATACGAGATTGTTATTTCTGAAAGTATTCTACATTTACCTCCTTTATTTGAAAATAAGCACTAATTGTACCCAAGTGCAAAGAAACTTGGAATGCAGGGTATGTTTTTCCATTCAGCTCTGTAGAACTGAAAAGAAGTTTCTGAACCTTTCTGATTGCAAAGCATTGTAGGGCTGATCTGGTATCAGTGGAAGTTACACTTGCTGACCCTTGGCCTGAATTTCACAGTGACCAAACCTGTATATGCCAGTTTTGCCAGGCCTTTTTCTGATATTACTAGCCTATCCTGAGAATTCTTACCTGGAGAATTGCAGATAGAATCTAGCTTTTTCTCAGGGGCTGACCTCCACAAAGGGGCCAAATCACATTCAGAAATACCTAGTTCAAACCAAAGAATGAAAAAGTTATCTTGAGGATACTTCAAGGAAAGTGAAAAAACCTGAGAGCTCTCTTCAAAATCCTACATCTCAGAATGTATCACTCTGAAGTCAAAAGTACCACAGCTTACAATGAGTCTTTTTGTGTTTGTCATGCCATAGAATGATCTATTCTGGAATATCTTCAGCTGATCAGGAAGTTCTAGAATTGACAAGTGTTACAGAACACTGAGGTGCCCTGCTTCCAAAGAGGGGAAAACTGCTGGGGAGGAAGCCCTAGAAGGAAATAAGCCCAGCTGTGGGTTGCCGGGGCAACCAGGGAAGGTCAGCTGACCAGAAGGGGCAGGGTCTGGCCCTTATAAACCCTAGGGGCTGGGGCCAAAAGGAGTTCCTTGCCAGCAGCTTCTGGAGTTAAGAGGTGGGAACTGCAGGGACTCCTCAAGCGGAGTAAGGGAAGCAAAGCTGGAGGCTTAAGCAATGATGTTAAGTTATAGCCAGGTGGCTTATGTTAAGTTATAGCCTAGGGGCTTGTTTTGCGTTGTTGTCATGTTGTTACACCGGTGGTTTGTGTGAGGCTATTATGGCTTGGAGGAGGCCTCATAAAGGGACCCACAGGGTTGTGGGGGCCCCGGTGCCAGTGAGGGCACAGCGTATTCAAGGGGAACCCACAGCAAAGTGTGAGGACCCCAGTGCCAGTGTGGGCACAGCATAAGGGGTACATAGACCCCAGCCCCAGAGAGGGGGCGTGTTTGAGAAGCCCCAGGGCAGGCGTGGCGAGCCCCAGAGAAGGGGTGTTACAGAGAAGCTCCTGTGTGGGCGTGGGGAGCCCTGGAAAGGGGGCAGCACTGCTGGGGAGCCCCAGAGAGGGGGCAGTTGACAGAGCAGGCCCTGAGAGAGGGCAGAACGCCCGGTGAGGGAGCAAAAGCCCCAGAGGAGGGGGGCAGTTACAGAGAAGCCCCAATGCGGGCGTGGTGAGCCCCGGAGAGGGGGCAGCACTGCTGGGGAAGGCCCTGAGAGAGCAAAAGAGGGGCCAGTGTGTAGATTGAGACATAACCTCTATTCCATCAGCGAGGTGTGGACTGCGGTGTAGGGGGAGGAAACTGAGCTGCAGATAGCGCCCCCTAGTGGCGGGGCAGAATAAGGGAAGCCTCCCACTAATTAATACTAATTAATTAATTAACAACAAGGCATGGCAGGCGAGTAGGTGGGCGGTTGCCCCAGAGACAGGTGGGTGGGCCACATTAAGGGCGGCCCAGAAGTGACCACCTGTCACAGCAAGTCGGGGGCAAATTTCTGTAGGTGAGGTGGCTGGTTATATTATTTCTATCTTGACTGTCCCTTGGGGGCTCAATGAGGCAGTAATGCACTGAAACCCAGGTTTACATTGAATTACAGTTTAGCTTTACAATTCAAGTTTTAAAGGTTAAGTATAGACATTCAAGAAGCCTGAGCCTGAATTGATTCAATCTTTGCAGGTTAGTCTAACCTAAATAGATTGAACTGATTTGCAAGTGAATAGACATTGACTTTTGATTCTGAATATGCCTTCAGTGGCTCTGTCCAAAAGCCGGGGACTGCTACAGCAAGTCCTCCCTTCCCTTCCACAGTGGGTGGGCAGGGCAGGGCAGGGAAGCTGAGCTGAGGGAGGGGGCATGGCCAGGCCCTGGCAAGCCTGAAGCCTGAATATGACTGGGGAGGGGTTTAAACCCCCACCCTGGCCTGCAGGGACCCCAGCTGGGATGTGCCTGGAGGGAGAAGAGGGGAAACATCCCTTGCCAGGTTTTTTTTGTTTTTGTTTTGTTTTTTGGGGGGCATGGCCAGACCCCAGCCCCCCAGCCAGATGCTGGCCTGGCATGGCCCCCTAAAGTGAAGGGGGCAGGAAGGAGGTTTATTCCACCCTCCCTCCCTACTCCCCCCCAGAACCCCAGCCGGGGTCTGCCTGGCTGGGGTGCAGCAGTCCCTGTCAGGGCCCACCCCTCACTCTCACTGCTCCAGCACCAGGGGCAGGGGCATGGCCAGATGCTGGCCAGCATGATGAAGGGGCCAGGAAGGGGGTTCATTTTACCCCCTGCTAGCCCCGGCCAGTTCTTTAACAACTGCTTGTCACACCATTGCCTGCACAGCAAAGGTAACTAGCTCCTTGTTAAAATGTTAATCCAAGGTCCATCAAGATTGCAGTATGGGGCTAGCAACTTTGTTTGTTTCTCAATTATTGACCCACCTACCTAGCAGAGTGTGTTTTCCTTTCCAGAGACTTATTGGAGGAAGGGACACACAGGGGGCAGGTCTGTGCAGCCGACCCTGCTCGGGGAGGGAACCCCAGCAGGGCAGATCCCAGTATGAGGGCAGTCTGGGGTCAAAGCAGGGGGCTCCATTGCCCTGCCTCCCCACCACTGCCTTGCTGGGTTGACAGGTGCAGGCGGGACACCGAACTGGGGAGCAGGGGCTTTACTGCCTCAACTCTTTAACAGCCTGGGGGTGGGGCCAGCTCAGCTCAGCCAGAGTAGAGGAGCACTGGTGGAAGCTAGCCCACCTGGCCTGTAAGGGGGATTAGCAAGGGGGCTGCAAAGCATCTTGGGATGTTGGGGGACTGTAACCTAACTTGTTTCAGGAGGGGATCTGGAACAGAAGTTCAAAAGACTGGTCTAACCTAAACTGGTTAAATCTGATACTACATCCATCTAGGTCTATCTTAAACCAGGTTCTGCCATTTTGAAACCAGTTTATGTGCACTGAACCTCTGTTCTGTTACAGGTTTAGACTGGTTTCTGATCACTTATACCAGTTTACATGTAATTTTTGTCCCCAGCCTTTGTATGTATAATAAAGTATCTGTTGGGTCAAAGATTGATCCTCAGTCTTCATATCCTATCTGAATGCCTTAATCATTATGCTATAAAGTTTCTCCATTCCCCTTCCCCGCATCTTCCCTGCCAGTGATACTGAATTATTTACACAGTGGAATAGCTATAACTGGAGAGGGTGAAATAACTTTGTCCCAGAGTAGCCAGCAGCCAGGACAGTCTCCTGAGGGGTAGGAAAGCTAGGTTCCAGATCCTTGTCTCGTTGAAAAAGGAAAATCCAATACAGGATGTCTGTACTAGTCCTACAGTGCTCTTCAGAGGGCCATTGGTAAGCAAGGACACCTCTGAATGTGGTGTCCTTGCTGAACTCCACTCTGCATACACCAAACCCAGAAGTCAGGCAGTGAAGTTGCTCTGAGGAAAATCCCTGCTGCCACCCTCTACCTGCTTGAGAATAGCAGCAGGGGCACTGACAGGGCAATTCGACTGCCTCATTATGAAGCATGGTGTATATGGAGCAAGAGCTGGAGGGTGAGATGTGCTTTTCCACAGCATTCTCAAGGGCATTGCTGAATGCCCACAGTTATCTAATACATGGTACTTAAATCAAGTTAACATTTAGCTGCATTGAATGTAGCTTTATTAATAACTTCAGGAAAAGGGAGTAATAATGAATAAATGGGAACACATCTAATGGGATACTATGAAGGAACTGAAAAATTGCAAACTAGTCCATCCCTGTTGCAAAGCTTTTAAAGATCCCTACTTAATAAATATCTGAACACATGTGGAAAAGGCTTGACTTGCAAAGGGCATAGAAAAAATCTTTAGGTATCTAAGAGCACAGCCCAACACATTGACTTGTTCCCAGAGTATATAATACTGCAGTCTATTTTGAGGGGGTTTGGTTTGGAGGAGGAGTGTGTGAAGGGAGTGGGGGCAGTGGGTTATAGTTTGTTTGTTTTTTTTTGCCTCAGGAAAGGTTGTGGGGAGGGAGGGCAGGAATTAGATATTTTTATTTACAATGTTCTTAATAACCAATAGTTCAAAACTGTAGATAACATTTGGGGTTCAACTTGGATACTATTTTAAATTATTCAGATTTTTTGTCATGTTGATATAGTTTAGTATAAATCATTAAGATTGGGCATATTTTTGCCCTGACTTTGATTCTTGTGATTGTTGTTTCCAAAAAAGACCTCATGTCCTTGAGCACTTAAAGTCTGTGTAAGCTACCTGCTGGAAACTTCTAGTTTGCTTTAGAGTACATGTCCTGGGACTTACAAAGGCTGGGGTTTGAATGAGCTCCATATGTTTGGGTTCCTATCCAGCAACTACCAGAACTACATCTCTCTGGAAGGGCTGCATGGTAGAGGTGTGCAAAGCTTTGGGTAATGATTTGATTCAGAGGAGATTTGGCCCAATTTGATGGCCGAATCTCCAAATCCAAATTAAATCAGGGAACCTATAAAAAGGTCTGAATTGAATCAGAAAAGATTCGGAGAGCTTCTGCAATTTGGACAGTCCCTGCTCACTGCAGGAGGGAGCTAGAGCTGGACTCCATACTGGTAAGTAAGGGGCAGGGGAGAGGGGCTAGAGGAGGGAGGAGGGGACCATGGAGGACCCCTGCCAGGCCCCATCCCCTGCCTGCCCCCCACCCTCCCCATGGCTGCCCTGCTTGCCCCAGCTCCCATTTGTTTAAAACAAATCCCCCACTCACTCAGTGCTGCCAGGCAGGAGGGGAGATCCCCACTGCCCCATGCTTCATGGGGGGGGCTCTGCCACAAGCCCCCCAGCCTGCTCCCCACTCTCCCCCCCCCCCCCCCCATGACTGCCCTGCCTGCCCTGGCTCTGGCCCTTTAAGAAAAAAAAACAAAACAAAAAACACGAACTCAACAGCTCCTACAGCAGCTTCAGGGGGGCTCATGCAGAGCCCCTCACACAGCATGAGGCAGTGGGGGGCAGTGGAGGTCACCCCCACCAGGCAAGAACCGGTGAGTCTGGGTTGTTGTTTTTTTTGCTTGAAGGGCCTGGAGCTGGAGCAGGAGGGGCAGCCATGGAGGAGGCTGGGGGGGGGGGGGGGGGGGGCGGGGC